ATGTTTATTTGATGAAGAGACCACATTGTTTTTCTGTAGAATTTCCCATATTCTGGGTTTGGATGAGCACATGATAGCTTATAACATGTTCCTCTGTCCCGTGTTCTTGTGAACTGGTAGCTAGATGTAGAAGCAGGATTGCTCTCAAGTTTATTGGCTGATTTATTTATTTTGCAAGGATGGTCATGAGTGGTGCTATAACACATCAGAAGGCCCATCTTGTCTAGCTGACTCCTTTCCAGTGAGGTTAACAGGATCGTTGAGATTAGGTGTTTTCAGTCTGATCTACCATTAGAAAACTCCTCACATTTCATGTGTAGGTTTTAGGAGCCATTGATGATTGTTGCCTAGAACTATTATTTCATTGCAGGTTGGAAAATAATGATTTTCTAATTCTGACATTCCTTCTGCCTTTATTACTAACATCACTGGGAAGGTGATTCTGAGATGCTGTGGTCCTGACCTGACTCTGGAGTGGGGAGAGGCTGCTGGCGGGGAGAGGTGAGGGGCTGAACTGAGGTGGGGAGGTTGGAGAATTGACGCACATGGATCGGTGACTGAGCTGCTGAAGGAAGTGTCAGAGACGTCTCAGTTTACTGGCTTGGGAACCTAGGTAAGTGGTGGTGTTATTCAGGGAACAGTCCCGGTTTTGAACACATGAGATTTTAGTTACTTACTTGTCATCCAAGTAAAGATGGCCAGTCTCTCATCGGCAGCATGGGTCTGAGTTGAAGGAGGGAGATCTGGGCTGGAAATGTGGAGTGTAGGGATGGTGGAGTGTGCAGGATAGTGTTTCTTATTTACTGTGTTCCAACTAATAATCTGATTGATTGTAAGTATTTTGAAAAAATAATTCAGTTTTAGAATTCTTGTTTAAAATTTTTTTGAAGTAATATTAGTCATGCACCTAGCAAGCTTCGTTTATTCTTCCTCGTTTTCCCCCCTTTTCCCCTTTACCAATGCAGAAAATTTAAGTAAAATCAGGCTGTTGTGCTTGGAAACAAGGAGTTCAACACTAGTCTTTAGGAAAATGGTTTTCAAGAAGGTGGAAGTCAGTTGTAAACTCTTCAGGGTTGAGGGAAATTTGAGAAGGTAGAGAAGTCTCTCTTACAGAACTTGCTTAAACCAAAGGGGTAGCTTTCAGGTGAGCCTTGAGCGAGTTGCAGATTTTGCCTTTGTGTTCCTGACCATGTGTATCATAGCCACACAGACCCTCTGCTGCATCAGGACTGGTGATACCTCAGCAGCATGACAGCAGCAGTGCTGTTGTCCCATACACAGCTGGTGCCTGGTGACACCGTGTGGGTTTCCTGGAGGTCCCAGGGTGTCCTTCACCGCTCTCCCGGGGTGTCCTGCATGTGTTTAGTCTCCGGTCTTCGGTTTCCTCTCATCTAGAGCACTCCAGAGCCCTTTGCCCCCCTTTTAAGACACCAGGCCAGTTGTTTTATAGAAGGTTCTTCACATTGGAATTAGATGAATGGTAATTAATGTTAAATCACAAATAGTATTTTTAAAATTGGAATTAGATGATTTGTAGATTTAGTGTAAACATTCTGGCCAGTGTATTCTGTAGGTAAGGTACGTGACATCAAGAGATGAGCCATGTGTCAGTTATCTCATTGCTGATGTTAAATTATAATTATGTGATAAAGTGAGGTACATCATTTTTTCTCCCCTTTTAAAGGTACCTTTTTCCCTTGTAAAATAGTAAGTAATCTGATAATAAGTAACCTGATAGTAAGCAACCTGATTATAAGTAATCTTTGAGATGGTGAGAATCACTTTTTCCCCAACAACCTCTCGTCCATGATTTTAAAATACTTTGAAGAATCTTTTATTCTTTTTTAAAAATTTGTATTGGAGTATAGCTGCTTTACAATGTTGTTAGTTTCTGCTGTGCAGCAAAGTGAATCAGCTATACGTATACATATATCCCCTCTTTTTTAGATTTCCTTCCCATTTAGGTCACCACAGAGCACTGAGTAGAGTTCCCTCTGCTATACAGTAGGTTCTCTTCAGTTATCTGTTTTATACATAGTATCAACAGTGTGTATATGTCAATCCCAATCTCCCAATTCATCCCACCCCGCCTTCCCTCCTTGGTAACCGTAAGTAAGTTTGTTCTCTACATCTGTAACTCTATTTTTGCTTTGCAGATAAGTTCATCTGTTCCATAAAATACTTTGAAGAATCTTGCCTTAATTAGTTATTACTGTGGTGGCTTCAAATAATGACTTTTCTAATCCTGTTATTCCATATTTTTCATTTTGTATCCTATAAAGAGCAGCTCCTCCCACCCCCTTAAATTTTTTAAATACCAGTACACACTCATGGAATCTTTTTATTTAATTACTGTTGTTGTTTACATTAATGCTAAAACGGTCCCACATTGGCTTGTGAGAGCCCCTTTAGGCCAGCTCCTGTGTCCTCTTGCTATGTCCCTGTCTGTTTTGGGCACGTCTTTGCTCTTTGGCACAAGGTGTCCCAGTAGCATGTACTTTCCTGCTCAGGCCCTGATATCACCTATTTTCCAGGGAATCCTGATTCTTTTTAGAGGAGAATAGAATTTAGAAACCAAGATGTACTTATTGCTACTGGGACATCATTATTTCCAGGCCCTTTAGACAGAGATAAAGGAAAAAAATACATGTTTATTTGTTTTAAGTCACGTTCACACCGATGTCTGTAATTTCGGTCCATCACCTCAGCGTCCTCCTATCATTGTCACTGTCCGCAGTTCTGTCTCCCTTTTCTTCCATGAGAACTCTGGTTCTCATCATTATATGTGCTCATTTACTGAGTCCTACAATAATTAGGAATCAGTTTCAGATTTGCTATGCCCATTCTACTGTAAAATTCCAAATTTATTTGCAGTTCTTTTTGTCCTTACAGAATATTCACTTCGGGTGTTGATTGTTCAGAAGTTACTTGGATTATTTCTTTTTTTCTTCTGTGTGGTCATCAGTTTGATAAAGAGGTTTATTTGTTTGTTGTTAATTAGGACCTGTTCTCCCTGCCCTCCCTTCCCTCCATACGCAGTTGGAAGTACCGCTCTCTAATGACAAATCTGAGTTTCTTTCTCTTATAAATGACTTAGTCTTTTTACCTGATGCCTCACATTTTTTTATTTTCACTGTTTTGTAGAAACCGAAATTCAACTGAGGCAATTTGAAGATCTGATTTGCTTTATCCAATTCATGGGTCAGGCAGCATCCCGTCTAACAGAGAAGGCTGCTCCCAGGAGCTGTATAAAAGGGAAGGTTGCTTTTGGCAGAGGAGGTGGGATAAGGAGATTAAAAGAGTGAATGATTTCAGGCCGGGTCACCTTCCCTTAGGGGGAGACTGGAGGTCTTACTAGAGAAGTTACCTCACCAGTCCTGACCAGGAAATTCCAGACTGAAGCGTTTAAAATTCCAGTCACGGGAGAGGTTAGGCATTAGGTCTTGGTGGGCTGACAATGAGTGACTACCTTTGGGGCCTCTTGGTTCTTTTTAAAGTAGGCGTGTCTTTCGGACATGCTGTTGTCCTTTTTAGGTTAGTTACTCTATTCCTTAGTCTAGTTTTGTTTGTTTTTTCCTTAGTCTGTTTTTTCTTGTAACAGTTTAGTATAATACTCTATCCTAATCAATTTCTGTTGCTTATATTTATGTGAAATTTCTTTTTCTGAAATTTTAGAAGGCAGAGGAGAACAAGATGATCTGTTCAGCTTCATGGCTGCTGGGCAGCCGTCTTTACTGTGTTTCGGAGGGTTGGACAGTCTAGCCCTAGACTCCGTGAGGGCTTTTCCGGCTCTGTTTTTGCCCCGCCGCCACCACCACCACTTACGTCTGAATCTTCTGTTTTCTTTCTGTTTCTCTGTCCTGGTTTATTTGGAATCTGGTCTCTGCAGCTGCTCACTGTGGACCTTGTCTCGGCCATCCTGGCAGGGAGCATCCCCAGGGCCTGAACCAGCCCTGCACCATCTGGTGCCCAAAGCTCCTCCCCTTTCAGCTGCTCCCCCCATGGTCACCTGCCAGACTTTTCAGTGATTTCTCCCGTTTTCATTGCTGCCTTTGCTCGCTGTTGTGGAGATATTCATGCTACAGAGGTCTTACGGCTATTAGTAGTTTGTCCCTACCAGCTTGTATTTTGGGGTTCCTTGGGGTACTTGGCCACCTAATTGGGTTATGGATGTCGTCTGTGGGGGGTTTGTTTTGCTCTCCAGTTGCTCTGTCTTTATGAAGCGCTGTAGGAGGAGTCAGAAAGCTTTGCCGATGCCACCACATTCTGCTGCCTCAGTAACCTTGGTGGTGGTCTTTTAACTTCTAAAAATACACCTATCCTTTCTCTCCCTCCTTTCCTTCCCCAAGTCATTTAGAAGAGAATTTGGGGAAATGGGAACTGAAAATGCTTTGCATAGCGTTTTTGTATCTATACAGAGACTTTCTTCTTCAGGGGTTTTGTTTGTTAGGAATAGGAAAAGATATTTTCCAGAGGGGATATTTCAGATTACTGTATTACACAAACCAAGTCCATTGGGGAAGTAAGATTTCTTTGCAGTCTTGCTAGTTTCTTATGTAAACTGTGAAATGTAACAGCAAGTTTAAAGATATTCTGGGATCCAAAGTCTTAAAAAAATCTTTGCGTTTGGGTTTGTAACTACTATTTTGGCATCCAGTAAAGTCTGTACAAATTACTTCCATGGTGTTTCTGGAAATTCTGAAGTTGGAATCATGTGCAACCCACCATACATATGACTGTTGGGACCTACAGCAGCGTTGACATTTTCTGTCCCTCTGTGTTTATGTTTCCTTAAACTGACCCTTTTTGTCACCACCAAGACCTGTTTGTTAAATCAGAAATCTGAGTAATATTGTACAGCGTTAACTCACGTAAGTCATTTTAAGGAGCTGAGAAACTGCTTGGAGAAAAAATTCCTACCAGATTTCATTAGCACTACTGTTGAGAACCTTTTAAATTACTATGTTAATGAGTATTTAAATCTTTTTTATACTTTATAGAGACTGCCCTTAAATAATGACATATTTGAGGCAAACTCTGATAGTGATCAACAAAGTGAGACCAAAGGAGACACTTCTTCAAAGAAGAAAAAGAAAAAACTAAGGCAAAGAGAAGAGAAGAGCCCAGATGATCTGAAAAAGAAAAAAGCAAAGACTGGGAAACTAAAAGATAAACCCAAACCAGACCTGGAGGGCTCCTCTGAAAGTATGGTTTTTGATTTAAGGACAAAGAAAAGAATTTTGGAAGCCAAAGAAGAATTAAAGGAATCCAAAAAGCCCAAAAAAGATGATATAAAAGAAACTAAGGAGTTAAAGAAAGTTAAAAAGGGTGAAATAAGAGATTTAAAGACTAAAAAAAGAGAAGATTCCAAAGAAAACAGAAAAACAAAAAAAGAGAAATGTGTTGAATCTCAGGTGGACTCCGAATTGAGTGTCCTTAGTGATTCCCCTGTTCAGGAAGAAGACGGTGAAGATTTGCATTCTGACAACAGAAACGAGAAGCAGCCAATTAAAGGTACAAAAGATAAAGCAGAGCCGGAGGCCATTCAAGATACTGTTTCTGATAAACAGCAGGGTGACACTGTAAGCGCTGATGAGGATGATGTCAAAGCTAAGAGGAAAAAAAAGAAACTGAGGAGGACAGAGGAGCTTAAAGAGAGCAAAAAGCTAGAAAACAAGAGCCTCCTAGAGAAGAAAAATACACAGAAAAAGCAGAGGAATCCAGACAAAGGCCCAAGTAGCGCTGAGTTAGATAAGCCAATGGCTGCCTCTGGCCCAGCACCGAAGAGCTCCAGACCGTGTGTGGAGGAGAGAGTCTCCAGGCCTGCAGACTCCTCGGGGGAGGTGAGTGCGGAGGTGAGTGCTGGGGCAGGGTGGAGGGGATGGCTCGATCTGATTGAAGGGCTGTAGCTTGCATCTCACACAACACACAGATGTTCAGATTAAGCTAGCACTCTTGAGTGGTCAAGAAGCTCCACAAATAATGAAGAGGAGACCGTAAAGCCGCAGCAGACCAACCTCGTTTTCTTGCACTTCACAGATAGTGCCTTTTTTACAGATTGGAGGTCTGTGGGGACCCTGCGTCGATCAAGTTTATCGGCGCCGTTTTCCCAACAGAATCTGCTCACCTCGTGTCTCTGTGCCACATTTTGGTCATTCTTGCAGTGTTTTAAACTTTGGTTTTGTTTTTTTGGCCACCCCGTGTGGCATATGGAACTTCCCCAGCTAGGGATCGAACCCAGGCCCCCTGCAGTGGAAGTGCGGAGTCTTGACCCCTGGACCACTGGGGAGGTTAATACTGTAGGTGTTACAGTGTTTGTGATCGGTGATCTTTGATGTTGCTATCGCAAAAAAGGCTGAAAGCTCAGATGATGGCTAGCATTTTTTAGCAGTAAAGTATTTTTTTTTAGTTAAGGTATGCACGGTTTTTTAGACATAATGCTGTTGCACACTTAATACTATAGTAAAAATATAACTTTTATATGCCCTGGAAGATGACAAAAATTGTGACTCACTTTAGTGCAATATTCGCCTTATTTGCAGGGGTCTGGAATCGAACCCAAAGTATCTCTGAGGTGTGTCTGTGTACGAAACTTTTCTACCATTAGGGAGATAATAGTATATCAGAAGGAAGAAATTCTCCTCTCCCTTCTAGGTTCGTCTGGCTGGTTTAGAATTGAATTGACATGAGACAGATGAACAGGGGGAAGATCAAACAAGTTTATTAATGCGTACACATGGAGGAGACCCAGGAAAACGGAGTAACTCGCCAAAACGGACGAAGTCCTCACCTCACGTACCGTCCTCAGCCAAAGACCAAAGAGGATGTTGAAGATGGGGAAGCAGTTAGGGGCAGCGAGCAGGCAAAGCACAGTAGACAAGGGCGGGGCCGTCACACAGATGGAAGTCCTTGCTGCTCCACTGATGTCTCTGGAGGTTTGGGAGACACCCTTACAAACGGAGATCTCCCTTACAGATGCAAATGTTTCTCACCAGAGGGCAGCTCCTACTTGGTTTTCAGAGTTTTCCCCATGCCTGCTGTTTCCTGGAAAATAACCAGCTTAAAAGAAGTAATACGCCCAAGAGACATATTTGGGGAGGCAAATTCTGCTCCCCTTCAAGCCTGATTAGTGAGAGGCAGTTATAAATGCTGATCATCCAGCTTTTGAACCGCCCCAGCAGTCTCCAGACTTGCTTTCTTTTGGACTGACCGCAACTAGAAAACTGGGGGCTAATTTGTGAACAAAAGTCAGGGGTTTTTAGAGGTATTCAGCTACTATGTAGCATTGTGAAGTAAAGCTTATAGCTTCCTCAGCTTATTTTATTAGCTTTTCACATCCTACTTGTATGTTCCCCCTGTTGTCTCAAGACTATTATACCACTTGTGGGACTTCCCTGGCGGTCCAG